TGCAGAGTCTGATCTTTTGAACATTTAAGAGTCTCAGAGCGACTGTGTTTTTTTTTTACTGTAGACAGGAAACAGCAGATGTGAACGCGCTCACAACTTTATATCCTGTGGACCATGGTCATATCCCACTGCAGTCTGTGGGATCGGAGATTTTAAATCTCATCAGATTCTCGAGTCTGTGGTGTGGCTTTTTGTCCCACGTTTAAAAATTGTTTAAGACCAAAAAAATCCTGTTGTGTGTAGAGAACTTTACTCTCTCATTCTTCTCCCCTCACTTTTACACTTAAGTTGCTCTCTCTCCCTCTCCCTCGCTTTCTCTTTCTCTCTCTCTCTCTCTCTCTTTCTTTCTCTCGCTCTCTTTCTTTCTCTGTCTTTCTTTCTCTCTCTCTTTCTCTCTGTCTCTCTCTTTCTCTCTCTTTTGCTCTCTCTCTTTCTTTCTCTCGCTTTCTCTTTCTCCCTTGCTCTCTCACTTTCTCACTCTTTCTTTCTCTCTTTCTTTCTCTCTCTTTCTCTCTGTCTTTCTCTCTTTGTATCTCTCTCATTCCTCTCTCTTGCTTCCTCTCCCCACTCTTCCCCTTCCCTTTTTCATCCCCCTCTCTTTCTCTTTTCTCATGCTTTTCTCATTCTCAGCTTTTTCTCTCTCCCTCTAACCGTCTATTCCCCTGCATCTTTTCTTCTCTCCTTCTTCTTCTCTTTCTCTTCTTCACTCTCTTATCTCTCTCTCTTTTATTCTCTTTCCCCTCTTCTTCCCCTCTCTTTTTCTGTCCCCCTCTCTCATCCTCTCACCTCTCTCCGTTTTCTAATCTCTCACTTACTCTTTGTCGCTCTCTCTCTGTCTTTCTTTCATTCTTCATGGACACTTTCTTTCTCTCTCTCTCTCCCTCTCTTCCTCACAGCTCTCTCTTTCCTCTCCCCTCTTTCTCTCTCTCTTTTTATAATATCTCTTACCTCCCCATCACTCTCTCTCTCTTCTCCTTTTTTAATCTCTCTCTCTTCCTTCCCCTTCACTGTCTCTAACTCTCTTCCACTTCTCTTTCTCTCTCCCTCCTTTTCTAATCTCCCTCTCTCCTCCTTCCCTCTATTTAATTTTGTCTCTTATCTTTTCTAATCGCTCTCTTTCTCCTCCTCCCTTCCCCCCTCCTCTCTTTCATTCTCTCCCTCTCTCCTTCTTTTCTTTATTTATTTTTGTCTGTCATCTTTTCTAATCTTTCTTTTCCCTTCCTTCTTCCTTTTGTCTCCTCTTTCCTCACCTCCTCCTCTCTTCCCTCTCTCTCTCTCTCTTTCTCTCTCTCCCTCCCTCCTCCCTCTCTCTTTCTGTTTAATTAGCTTTATGTAAAATCCTTCTGCTGAGTTTTAATTGATTCAAAGTCTTTCGTGTTTCCTCTGAGTCTGAACAATGTCGATCCAATTAGAAAACACGGACTCCAACTCCCATGATGCACCTCTCCCCGCGTCCCCCGGGACCCCAACGCCTTACAGGGATTTCCCATTAACTGGATTACAAGCGTGTAATCCCAAAATATTCCCAGCGGATTTCCAAAACACGTGTCGGACAAAACCGGGGGAGGAGGCTGCGATTTCCCCAAAGCCGAGTACGGTACCTGAACGCACCGCGACGCGTTCACGGGCTCCCCTCACCTTCGTCTACTCCCCGAACTTTAATTTTTTTATTTGTTTGGGAAAGTTGGGAGCGGGATCTCGGGAGGAAAGCTGCAGTTTTGTGGGTTTGATCCGTAATTAAAGGAACAAATCCGGCCTAATGACGCGCCTTACGTTTATGTGGTTTTAAAATGAGCAGATTATGGGGTCATTATTTTACAAAAGACTGTTTAGAGGAGGATTAGAGGAGGAAAGAGAGAGAGGAGAGGAAGAGAGAGAGGAGGAGAGGAAGAGGAGGAGGAGGAGAGGAAGAGGAGGTGAGAGAGAGAGAAGGAGAAGAGGGCAAATGAGGAGATACAAGAGGAAAGGAAGAGAAAGGAGAGGGGGAGGAAGAGGAGAGGAGGAGGAGGAGAGAGAGAAAGAGAAGGGAAAGGAAGAAGAGGTGAAGAGGAGTAGGAGAAAGAGGAACAAAAGAAGTAGACTAAATGTGTAAAACTGTCAAAAATAACTTAGTACGATAGTCCTGGTTTAGTCCTGGTTTTAGTCTGTTTTAGTCCTAGTTTTAGTCCTGTTTTAGTCCCTGTTTTAGTCTGGTTTAGTCCTGGTTTAGTCCTGTTTAGTCCTGGTTTAGTCCTTTTAGTCCGGTTTAGTCCTTTAGTCCTGTTTAGTCCTGTTTAGTCCTGGTTTAGTCCTGTTTTAGTCCTGTTTTAGTCCTGTTTTAGTCCTGTTTTAGTCCTGTTTAGTCCTGTTTTAGTCCTGGTTTAGTCCTTTTAGTCCTTTAGTCCTGGTTTAGTCCTGTTTAGTCCTCTTTTAGTCCTGTTAGTCCTGGTTTAGTCCTGGTTCAGTCCTGTTTTAGTCCTGTTTAGTCCTGTTTAGTCTTTAGTCCTGTTTTAGTCCTGTTTAGTCCTGTTTAGTCCTGGTTTAGTCCTGTTTTAGTCCTGGTTTAGTCCTAGGTTTAGTCCTGTTTTAGTCCTGTTTAGTCTGTTTTAGTCCTGGTTTAGTCCTGTTTTAGTCCTGTTTTAGTCTGGTTTAGTCCTGTTTAGTCCTGGTTTTAGTCCTGTTTTAGTCCTGTTTTAGTCCTGGTTTAGTCTGTTTTAGTCCTGGTTTAGTCCTGTTTTAGTCCTGGTTTAGTCCTGTTTAGTCTGTTTTAGTCCGGTTTTAGTCCTAGTTTAGTCCTGTTTTAGTCCTGTTTTAGTCCTGGTTTTAGTCCTGTTTTAGTCCTGTTTTTAGTGTTTTAGTCCTGGTTCAGTACTGTTTTAGTCCTGTTTTTAGTCCTGGTTTAGTCCTGTTTTTGTCCTGGTTTAGTCCTGTTTTAGTCCTGGTTCAGTACTGTTTTAGTCCTGGTTTAGTCCTGTTTTAGTCCTGTTTAGAGGAGAGGTGGAGGAGGAGAGGAAGAAAAAGAGAAACGAGAAAGAGAAGACAAAGAGGGGCAGGTGAAGAGGAGAAGGAGGGAAAAAGGAGGGAAGGAAGGAGTACGAGAAGCAAAAGAAGTAGAGGAGGAAGAGAGCAAGAGAAGAGGAGGGGAACAGGAGAAAAAAGAGTGGAGGAGGAGAGAAGGAGAGAAGGAGTTCTTGATTCATAATCAGTGATCGTTCCTCCAGTCAAATGAAGCTCATCGAGGCTGTGGTTATAGGAGCAAATTTGGAGTCAGGGCCATGTTCGGAATAAAGCGAATGTCAAACAAACGAATAATAATGATAAAGAAGGCAAAATAGTGTATCTTTTATGATCGTACAAAAGAAACCACAGTGAGAATGAAAAATGCCAGGACTTTTTTTGTTTTTTGTTTATGGTCGTTCAAACTAATAATAATGATAAAGAAGGTGCATTGTACAAAATAAACAGTAATGAGAATGAAAAATGTACGATTTTTTATGATTTTTTTCCTTTATGGATGTACCAACTAGTAATGATGATAACAGAAATTTATCTTTTATGATCGTATCAAAATAAGCAAAGTGAGAATGACAAATGTAAGGATTGTTTTTTTTTTTTTTCCGTTTATGGTCGTTCAAACTAATAATGTTTACGAAGGCACAAAAGTTTATCGTTTATGATCGTACAAAATAAACCACAATGAGGAATAGGAATTGATTCACTGACAAATTAGTGAAATAAAAACAGCAGAATTATAGAGCGGATTAATACGAATATTTTAAGACCAAAATGACGAGGCTCAGAGCAGCAGGTACAGAGAGACGAGCCATGGTTTGTCAATATAAAGTCAATCGGAGATGGTTTGGTTCTGTCTTGGTTCTGTTTTGGTTTTTAAACTTAGATAAACTTTATTGATCCACAAGGAAATTAATTTGGACACAGTAGCTCACACATCATAGTATATTAATGAGATACGATAAGAATAATGTGATTTTGTTCTGGTTCTGTTCTGGTTCTGTTTTGGTGATTCTTCTGTACATTTTCAGGTGGCTGTCTTGGTTCTGTCTTGGTTCTGTCTTGGTTCTGTTGATTGAGTCTTGGTTCTGATTCTTCTGTATATTTTCAAGTGGAGCTCATGGTCTGTTTTGGTTGTTTTGTGATTCTTCTGGACTTCTGGAGCTTCAGGTTTTGGGTTCTGTTTTGGTCCTGTTCTGGTTGTGTTTTGGTGATTCTTTTGTATATTTTCAGGTAGAGCTAATGGGCTGTTTTGGTTCTGTTCTGGTTCTGTTTTGGTTCTGTTTTGGTGATTCTTCTGGACATTTTCAGGTGGAGCTCATGGTCTGTTCTGCTTCTGTTTTGGTTCTGTTTTGGTGATTCTTCGGCACATTTTCAGGAGGTGTTCATGGCTGTTCTGGTTCTGTTCTGGTTCTGTTCTGGTTCTGTTTTGGTTCTGTTCTGGTTCTGTTCTGGTTCTGTTCTGGTTCTGTTTTGGTTCTGTTTTGGTTCTGTTCTGTTCTGTTCTGTGTTCTGGTTCTGTTCTGTTCTGTTCTGTTCTGTTCTGTTCTGGTTCTGTTCTGTTCTGTGTTCTGGTTCTGGTTCTGTTCTGGTTCTGTTCTGTTCTGGTTCTGTTTTGGTTCTGTTCTGGTTCTGTTCTGGTTCTGTTCTGGTTCTGGTTCTGGTTCTGTTCTGGTTCTGTTCTGGTTCTGGTTCTGTTCTGTTCTGTTCTGGTTCTGGTTCTGTTCTGGTTCTGGTTCTGGTTCTGTTCTGGTTCTGTTCTGGTTCTGTTCTGGTTCTGTTCTGGTTCTGTTCTGGTTCTGTTCTGGTTCTGTTCTGGTTCTGTTTTGGTTCTGTTCTGGTTCTGTTTCTGGTTCTGTTCTGGTTCTGTTCTGGTTCTGTTCTGGTTCTGTTTGGTTCTGTTTCTGGTTCTGGTTCTGGTTCTGGTTCTGTTCTGGTTCTGTTCTGGTTCTGTTCTGGTTCTGTTCTGGTTCTGTTCTGGTTTTGGTGATCCTTGTGTATACTTCCAGGTGGAGCTCACGGGCAGCAGCGTCTTTGATTACCTGCACCCTGGGGACCACGTGGAGATGGCCGAGCAGTTGGGGATGAAGCTTCCTCCGGGTCGAGGCGTTTCTCTTCAGACCAGTGTCCATGACGACGGGGCCTCCTCTGCCTCCTCCTCCTCCCACTCCGACTCCCCCGAACCAGGTACCCACCCCCATCTTACCCCTGTCTCGTCTCACCCCTCTGCCCTGCTAACCTCTCCACGCTCCCCTCCTCCTCAAACTCTGTCTACCCCGAACCTCGAAAACTAGAAAACCGATCGCCTTGAACATTTTGACTGAAGTGGAGTGTGAATCTCGACATTCCTCAGTGTAGTGTTCAGTAAATTCCTCTTTCATCTAACTACGCGCAGCAAGTGAAGTAAACTTTAGTTTTCATAGAACTCACGTTGTTCAGTTTCTCAAATCTGAAAAATGCAATAACCTTTACTTAAAGAGGAAGTTCATCTTACTTGATAAAACTATGAAAAATGATTGACTTGAACTGAGCAAATGTTACTTGAAAACAAAAGTGAGAGTAAAAACAGGTTCTATTCTACAATAATGTCATTTAGATCTGCATCAGGTACAAGGATTTGAATATTTATTATTTGTAGCAAAGCCTTTGTTCGGCTTAAGTTCAAAACACATTGTAACATGAAACAATAAAATAATACAGCTCCATCATTCCATGTCAACTCAACCAAGACCCCCGCACTTAAGAAACAAAAAATACTGGGAGAAACAAAACAGGTGAACAGGTTTAATCGAGAAAAGACTGAGTGAACAGAGGGAGGATATAGAGACACTCTGGGAGGATCAGGGAATGATTGACAGCTGGAGGAAAAACAGGGAGGCAGCAAAAGGAGGAGTGGAACAGACTGGGAAATGGAGCTGGACTCTTGTCAATAACACGTCACTGTTGAAGTTCCTCGTCTCATTCAAGTCGACCTGAGTCTAATTGACAAGTCATGAGCTTTTTTCACCCTGAAAGTCACTGTTACTTTACCACAATCATTAAGATCCACTAATTTGTAGCTGTGAGTAAAGTAAATGAGCTGAATGCAAGTGAACCAACCAACAATTTTACAGTGTATAGTCCTGGTTTAGTTCTGGTTTGGGGACATTTTTTGTGGTATAATCCACAGACTGTATATATAACATGAACATAGCTAACCCGCTAGCTGCTGCATTCCAAATAGGAAGTGAGCATGGACGTGCTTTCAGCTCCATCGACTCTGGCTACATTTCACTTTCTATAGAGAAACCGTCGCCCTCTCTCTGTACCTGCTGCTGTGTGCCTCGTCCTTTTGCTCTGCTCTTCATGTTCCTGGTGATTTTAGTTTGCTATTTTGTTCTTAAATCAAAATCAGGATCTGTGCTGGTGAAATTTCAAATATGGAACACTGTAGCCTCGATGAGCTTCATTTGACTGGAGCAGAATGCTACAGGTGACGTCACACTTAGTCCGCTTCTGTTATACAGGTATAATCGTTTACTGCTTCACTTCTCTTCTCGTTCTCTATCTGTCCATTTCCTGTCAGCTCTCTCTTTCTCCCCGTCTCTACCCTCTACCCTTTTCTCCTTCTCTTCTCTCTTTCTCTCTCTTCTCTTTCACCTAATCCTGACTCCCTCCATCCCTCCCTCTCTGCTCTATGTCCCACTCGTCTCTCTTCTTTCTTTCTCTCTTTCTATCCCTCTCTCTCTCTCCGTCCGTCCGTCCGTCCGTCGTGAGTGCGTGTCCAGTCGTAATTGGGAGTGTGTTTGCTCAGTGCGTGTGTGATGAGCTCACACTCAGAGGACTCACATCATGTTTAATTTCATAATGAACTTTTCACTATTTTACATCTGATTAACTACGGCCTCATTTTGGACCCGGCAAACTCCCACTAATTAAATCTGGATCAGTGCTGGTTTGGTCTTGTTTTAGTCCCGTTTCAGTCTTGGTTCAGTCCTGTTTCAGTCTTGTTTTAGTCCTCCTTCAGTTCTCTTTTAGTCCTGGTTCAATCCTGGTTTAGTCCTGGTTCAGTCCTGTTTTAGTCGTGTTTTAGTCCTAGTTTAGTCCTGATTTAGTCCTGGTGTAGTCCTGTTTTAGTCTGGTTTTAGTCCTACTGTAGTCTTGGTTCAGTCCTGTTTTAGTCCTGATTCAGTCCTGTTTTAGTCCGGTTTTAGTCCTGGTTCAGTCCTGTTTAGTCCTGTTTTAGTCCTGGTTTAGTCCTGTTTAGTCCTGTTTAGTCCTGTTTTAGTCCTGTTTTAGTCCTGTTTTAGTCCTGGTTTCGTCCTGGTTTAGTCCTGGTTTAGTCCTGGTTTAGTCCTGGTTCAGTCCTGGTTTAGTCCTGGTTTAGTCCTGTTTTAGTCCTGGTTTTAGTCCTGTTTTAGTCCTGTTTTAGTCCTGGTTTCGTCCTGGTTTAGTCCTGGGTTAGTCCTGGTTTAGACCTGGTTTAGACCTGGTTCAGTCCTGGTTTAGTCCTGGTTTAGACCTGGTTTAGTCCTGGTTTAGTCCTGGTTTAGACCTGGTTTAGTCCTGGTTTAGTCCTGGTTTTAGACCTGGTTTCCTGGTTTAGTCCTGGTTTAGACCTGGTTTAGTCCTGGTTAGTCCTGTTTAGACCTGGTTTAGACCTGGTTTAGTCCTGGTTTAGTCCTGGTTTAGTCTGGTTCAGTCCTGGTTTAGACCTGGTTCAGTCCTGGTTTAGTCCTGGTTTAGTTCTGGTTTAGTCCCTCCTTGAGTTTAAAGTCTAAATGTATCTGGACTTTCATCAGATTTTTAAGAATAATTTTCATAATTCGAGTCGTTTAAACTCAGCGGCGGATTCGACCTTGGAGACGATCGTTTCAAGTGTTTTTAAAACGTCTCATCTCCAAAAACATGAAAAACATGACGCAACCCACAAAGTCAAACAGAAACAGAGACGCTAACCACTCTGCCGCACTCACACTCACTCCAGATCAGACCTGGTTTAGATCTGGTTTAGTCCTGGATTGGTTCTGATTTAGTCCTGGTTTAGATTTGGTTTAGTCCTGGTTTAGTCTTTGTTTTAGACCTTTTTTAGACCTGGTTTAGTCCTGGTTCAGTCCCGGTTTAGTCCTGATTTAGTCCTGGTTCAGTGATGGTTTAGACCTGGTTTAGTTCTGGTTTAGTCCTGGTTTAGTTCTGGTTTAGTCCTGATTTAGTCTTTGTTTAGACCTGGTTTAGTTCTTTTTTAATCCTGGTTTAGTCTTTGTTTTAGACCTGGTTTTAGACCTGGTTTAGTCTGGTTTAGTCCTGGTTTAGTCCTGGTTTAGTCCTGGTTTAGTCCTGTTTTAGTCCTGGTTTAGTCTGGTTTAGTCCTGGTTTAGTCCTGGTTTAGTCCAGTTTAGTCCTGGTTTAGTCCTTTAGTCCTGGTTTTCTGTTTAGTCCTGGTTCAGTCCTGGTTTAGTCCTGGTTTAGTCCTGGTTTAGTCCTGGTTTAGTCTGGTTTAGTCCTGGTTTAGTCCTGGTTAGTCCTGGTTTAGTCCTGGTTTAGTCCTGTTTAGTCCTGGTTTAGTCCTGGTTTAGTCCTGGTTTAGTCCTGGTTTAGTCCTGGTTTAGTCCTGGTTCAGTCCTGGTTTAGTCCTGGTTTAGTCCTGGTTTTTAGTCTGGTTTAGTCCTGGTTTAGGTTTAGTCCTGGTTTAGTCCTGGTTTAGTCCTGTTTAGTCCGGTCCTGGTTTAGTCCTGGTTAGTCCTAGTTTAGTCTGGTCCTGGTTTAGACCTGGTTTAGTCCTGGTTTAGTCCTGGTTAGTCCTGGTTTAGTCCTGGTTAGTCTGGTTTTAGTCTGGTTTAGTCCTGGTTTAGTCCTGGTTTAGTCCTGGTTTAGTCTGGTTTAGTCCTGGTTTAGTCCTGGTTTAGTCCTGGTTAGTCCTGGTTTAGTCCTGGTTTAGTCCTGGTTTAGTCCTGGTTTAGTCCTGGTTTAGTCCTGGTTTAGTCCTGGTTTAGTCTGGTTTCTGGTTTAGTCCTGGTTTAGTCCTGGTTCAGTTTAGTCTGGTTTAGTCCTGGTTTAGTCCTGGTTTAGTCCTGGTTTCAGTCCTGGTTTGTTTAGTCCTGGTTTAGTCCTGGTTTAGTCTTTGTTTAGTCCTGGTTCAGTCCTGGTTTAGTCCTGTTTAGTCCTGGTTCAGTCCTGGTTTAGTCCTGGTTTAGTCCTGGTTTAGTCCTGGTTTAGTCCTGGTTTAGTCCTGGTTTAGTCCTGTTTCAGTCCTGGTTTAGTCCTGGTTTAGTCCTGGTTCAGTCCTGGTTTAGTCCTGGTTTAGTCCTGGTTTAGTCCTGGTTTAGTCCTGGTTTAGTCCTGGTTCAGTCCTGGTTAGTCCTGGTTTAGTCCTGGTTTAGTCCTGGTTCAGTCCTGGTTTAGTCCTGGTTTAGTCCTGGTTTAGTCCTGGTTTAGTCCTGGTTTAGTCCTGGTTCAGTCCTGGTTTAGTCCTGGTTTAGTCCTGGTTTAGTCCTGGTTTAGTCCTGGTTTAGTCCTGGTTCAGTCCTGGTTTAGTCCTGGTTTAGTCCTGGTTCAGTCCTGGAGCACATGCACACTCCAGTCTAAAGGTTAAGTTTGATTTAAAGTGAATATTCTTTCTAAACTCATTGATCGCTGGTATATTTTGACTGACACTTGAACGCGTGGCGGCGGCTGTGTTTCGGAGGGTCTTTGAACGCAGCACGGAGCGCGCTCAGTCGGACCCAACCAAATGACGACATCTCAAACGCTTTCAGGTTCAACTTCTGACTAAAATCATGAAGGTTAAAGACTCAAATCAGGAGCACAAAGTTATGAATAAAATGTGTAAAGTTATTGAAAAGACAAAGGAGGGTGAAGTCAAAGTTTAGTCCTGGTTTAGTCTTGGTTTAGTTCTGGTTTAGTCCAGGTTTAGTCCTGGTTCAGATTTGCCTCAGTCCTTGTTTAGTTTAGTCAACTTGAGTGTTAAAGGGGCTCAATAAACTGATTGTGTCAGACCTGGTTTAGTCTTGGTTTAGAACTGTTTAAGTCCTTGTTTAGTCCTGGTTTAGTCCTTGTTTAGATCTGGTTTAGACCTGGTTTTGTCCTGGTTTTGTCTCAGGTTAAATCCTGGTTTAGGTCTGTTTAAGTCCATGTTTAGTCCTGTTTAAGTGCTGGTTTAGACATGGTTTAGTCTTGGTTTAGTCCTGGTTTAAGTCCTTGTTTAGACT